ATATATATATATATATATATATATATATATATATGAAACAATGATTGTTAATTTTAGTATATTAGTTTTAAGTGAGATAAGAGGAGTTTTAAGTGGATAAGAGAGTGAACCTGAAGTATAACATATATTTAAAAATATTATATTCTCAATTGAATATTTTGTACTTTTCATTCATGAAAATTACTTTTGAATAATAAGAACACAGGTTTTTCTTTGTTGAAACAAAAATCGTATAAAATATATTTTTGCAAGTAACTTATCTTCATTTAACGCTATGTAATCTCATTTGAAGATTAACATGCCAAAAAAAAGATATTTTTTAAACGATAATGTCTTTTTTTCTGTGTAGGTAATTTATCAGAATTAAAATTATTTTCAAATTTCTTAAAAAAAATTAGACAATCCGAAATTCATTTTTGTTTAACTATTGTTTTACACTAAATTTAAATTTCAATCGCTATTGGTACTGGATATACAATTGCATTTTAAACTTGCATTCTTTTGCATTTTGTTCCTTTTAAGTTTTCAAATCTTATCGAGATTTGCAACGTAAGAAAAAAGAAAAGATGACAAAACTTATGAAAAAAATAATATTATATTTTCATGATATATTTATCCATTGTTCATATTTTCTTTTATTATATTTATCCGTTGATGTTCATGTTCCGACATGAGAAAAACAAACGCGAGTAATCATTTGCAACGTCAAAAGTGGACGATATGATGTTACATCTGTTTTATTGGCTCTTCGAGTTCGACGACATTTAAGCGATTGATGTAGAATGAATATTTTCGAGAAAGTGCGACAGTTCTGGAATGCTTAGAGACAAAACGTTTATTTATCTCTTCCCAATGAGTGCTTCACGAGTGTCGTCCGATTATCGTCTCATCATCCACGTATGCTGGTGAGGCGAAACAAACCCACGAGGACTACCGTGAATTTCGTTTCATGATCAGTCCATTCGTGTCCTCATCGAGGGCCCGTTTTACGTCTTCGAAACATTCGCGTTTTATGCACGCCACCCAGGATCGATCGCGCGCGGTTTCACGAGGCCGCGACAAATGAGCGCGCGTATGCGCTCCGCGTGCATTTAAAATCCAACCTTTATCGGGTATCGACGTCGCAGCTGCGAACGCATCGCCGGGAGATTTGCATAATTTCTCGCGGCGGCCCGCCTGCGCCGCTGCGCGACGAGCCTCTCGTTATCTTTACACGCGCCTCGTATCGTGTCGCATCACCGCGATACGACGAGAGAAACGTTGGATATTAAAATTATGTCTCGCGGGAGTGCTGATGAAAGTGAAGACCGAGCCGTAAATACGCGTGTAACAGGACTACCGATGTGCCCTTCGTGTCCCCGCCTCCGTTCCTGCGCTTTCATTCCCTCCTCGTTCCCGGGGCCCCTCTATTTTAAGCATCGCGCGACACTCATTGGGTCAGTGCCTCTACGACCGATTCCGTACGCTGCTCCTTGCGCTCTTTTTCACCGCGAGAAACTGCTCGATAATGAGCACCGTCGTCGCCGTGTAGCACGTGTCATGCGCGATTTGCATAATTGCTCGTCGACTTCTCTCCGGTGCGCCGCCTCGTTATCTTTATGCTCGTCATATCGCGTCGAATCGGGAATCGCGTCCAGACATCGGATTTGCGTACCGTTCGTTGCGGCTGCGAGAGATCTGAAAAGCGGAAATCGCATCGAATCCTCTTCGCGTCGATGCTAACCGCTCCCGCGGCGGTTCATTTACGTCTTATTAATTATCGGACTATTCGCCTCCCGAGCGCTCCTCTTAATGAACGGATCCGACGCAGCGAAACGGCGCTTTTATTGGCGCGCGCGTAAAGGTCGTGAGATTCGCAGAATGTAACTCACGTCGCGTGCGACGCCGCCTGTTATCTTAATGCCCGCGCTATCGTGTTTACATCGGCTTGATGCGAATACGTGTCGCGTTTCCGCATTCGTTCCGAAGCGTTTGGAAGCTTAATTTTGAAGAGATGATACAACGATTTGTCTCTGAGGATAAATTCCAATTTATCTTCTCAAATTTTGGTTGTGGTGATTTATTTATATATTTGGTTGTGGTGAATAATCTATATATTTTTTGGTTATACTTATATATTGATATATAGTTATATGTATTTTTTTCTTTTATTATATTTGATATATATATTTTTTACAATGATTATATTCACATGCGATTCATTCGTGATCTGTGTATTGAATTTATACATGTATATTTGATTTAATATTATTTTATCACAGTTTCTTATTATTGAATAATTTCGCCATAGTTCGCGAACATTTAATTTTTGAGATTATTCGCGATTGCTATAAAGCGTTACAGCGAATGCTATAATTAATATTCAGTCAACCTGTAGGGAATTATTGTTCATTATAAAGTCATTCTATCGAACGGATTACCTCTTACCACGAAATACTTTTAATGCTGCATTACGTTTACTTCGCGCTCGAAAATTTTCTCCTTGGGGAATAATTCTGTGTAGCAGAACTCTACGCCGCGTAAGGGAATAAAAATGTCTTTCTGTGGGTGTCCACTTACAGTACTTTCCAAAGGCAGACTTAAGTTCTGCCTTTGGAAAGAAATACTCGGATAAAACTCTTCTTTCGACCTTAGGCTTCAAGTATCTGTTTAAGAATTTTTGGGAGGGTCTTTCAGTGACAGATATCTTTCGCACAGGAATACAATTGTGTCTAAATTGTGTACATTTGCCTGAATTTTATAACCGAAAATCATCTTTGATTGACAATAAAAGTTTGTAAATTTTAAACACGCAGTTTCCATTCATATGAAAAGAAAATTACATACAACGTGTCGGCAAATACAAATAATCACTCAAACAAATATTTTGCTGGTCAAAATAGAATTCTAAATATCGCGGTTAAAATTGATCATTGTTACTTTGTATCTGGTAGAAAATTGTCTGTGATAGAATTTACGGCAGCAGCATTCTAGCAATATCTCTGTAAGCAAATTTAAATTCCCTTTACCATTTATTAATCTAACCTGAATGGGTCCCGTAGAGAGACTTTTTGCTAAATTCTACAAATAGTTTAAATAGAAATTCTGTCATCTATTCTCGATTAAATACAAGACATGCGATATGGCAGTGCATGCTAGTCATTTATCCATCTCAGTTAATTTCTCGTATCTGAATGATTTCCGCTATAATTGCAAAATGATTTTTTCGAGTGATACAGCGGTCAAAATTGATGATACAGCGATCAAAACTCACCTAAAGTGGTTTAAACTCGCGTTTTTATCATATTATGATCATATGCTCAAATTTATTGCTTGTATTTTACTGCAATATTTCATTGCGTTTCGCTCCCATTTCCCGTGCAGATGATTCATCTCGGCCGGTCGGATGATTCGCTGGCGTGAAGGTTTCGATGCGAGCCTGCGGCGTGTTACGCAAATTAGTTAACGTGGCCGGACGTAACCCCGTCGTTATTTATTTCTTGCCAAGGAAGAGAGGAGGGGAGGGGAAAAGGGAATCTGGCGAGCTAATTAAGAAAAACACCGGATAAGGATCGATTCCGTCGAGAAGCGATCCGCGCGATCTCGCCTGGATATTTCAGTGGAGATTATTTCGAGGGAGGTAGAAGAGAGGGAAATGTTGCTAAGGGGGCACGATTGGGGCGTAATGTGGCGGAGGGGGGGACGATGAGAGAAGACTCACCGCCAGGTTACGGGTCAGCCGCAGTGGAGCATTAATAATCGTTTATAATCTTTAAAGCGGGGTGTGGCGAGTACGTTCACCCTCATCTTCCTCCGCTTCTTCCACCTCTTCCGCCTCTCCTCCCTGCGCGCTAATCTTCCTCGCGTGGTCTTCATTCGCGAGCGAAATGCAAGGAAAAAGTCTGACCTGCCTCGGCAAACATGCACGTCCTCGTAAAAACCGAACGAACACACCTCACGGGGAAAGGGAAGAAATACTTAAAGCTCAGTACCTAACCGCGAGAACACACTCTCGACGAGAACATTAAAGTCTTTCGGGTATCTCCAGTTTTTCTTAAACAATGTGTATTAAGAACCGCAAACTGTGTACGCGAAAACGAGTTCTTCCGACCGGGAACGGCTTTAAATTCGCGACTGGAGCTAGGCGTGAAGTCGCGATATGTTTACTGCTATCGCGAGTTGCAATTTCGCGCCTCTTACGTTTCACTCGCCTCACCATTCCGGTAGTTTACGGCCGTAATTGCGAGGCGTGTCGGCGCTTAGGAAGCATTGCAAA